GCATCGTAGCTCTTTGTTTTATGGCTGAGATAAGGGAAAGTGCAGTCTCTTATTTTGTCTATTTTGTTGTGTCTTCATTTACAACATGAAAGTGTAAGTTACTGGATAAGCATATTAGTGGGTGGACTTAAGGATTAAATATGGACACCTATGGTTCACCTCTTGTACAAGTTGAATGTCTACCGCACACGATAGGTGAAAGTCCCTTTACTGCCCCCCTGGGGAAATATGGGTCACTGGTGATGCACTCCCTCAATGGACCATGGGAGGGGAGGGGCTTGAGGTTGGGTAAATGCATTTAAGGGTGGTAAATATAAGGAGAAGCTCAACCGGGACATGTCTTCATCATGGTCCAAGATGATGGTCTTAAACTTGGATCAATCACAAAGTCAAACTGTAAACTGAGCCAACTAATTCACATCCCGAAAAGTATGAATCATGAAACACAATTTTGCTTCTTTTTTTTTTGTAATACATTGAAGAGAGTAAACAAATCCAGGGAAATTTTTTTTAAAAAGTTAGGATTAATTTTATTTTCGATTTTTTAAAAAAGTTAGGATTAATTTTTTTTTCGATGCAAACACAGCATCGAAAATTTAATCTTTAAAAAAGATTAAATTGTATTGTTCCCTCGTCTATTACCCTCTACTACCACCTGCTGAAAACTGTCCAAACGTAGTCGCCTCTTCATTTACTCTTTACACGATCAAATCACTCAAACGAGATATCTATATCAAAATATATCTCAACAACAATGAACGTAATTTTCTTAAGTATTTTTGTATATTTTTTTTAATATATACACAAAGCGCTGAAAGTGAAATCAATCGTGAGGAAGATCAGAATAACCCAGCCACTGACCTTGCAGGAGAACTGATGGTGCACAGCCAGACTCAGGGCTTGTTTCTTCAGAGCAACCAGGGTCGCTGAGCACTTCTCACAACATCCAACTTTCCTCTCAGACTTCCCGAGGCTGGCGCTGTCCGCCCTGGAGCCTCTGCACAGAGTCCCGGCGCCGAACCACATCGTAGAATTGATGCGCTCCCCGATGGAGGAGCCGGGGAGGGAGCTGTAGGAGCCGAGACCAGCAGCCTCCGCTCTCAGGGACAAGTTGGGATACGGGTCACCCTGCCTCCAGCCTCCGGCGCCTACCGGAGCGGGACGCTCCTTGTTGGGCTGCTGTCGTCGCTCTGTTGCTTTAACGCTCGCGAAAAAAGCAGCGGGCTCACAGTGATGCTGCACTTCACAGCTCTGAGGGATGAATCAGAGCACAAGTAGAGATGTCAGTCCACGCGCACAAGTGCAACCACACCCAAGTGTTTCTGGTTTTTCAACAGTGCCACAACATTAACTCTGCCCAAAGTCTTTACAGGACAACTCACTGTTGGATTTATCTAAAGGAAATGTGTGCTCATCACCAAAAAGGAGATAAATGTGACTTACCCCGTGTCCTCCAGTGACCGGTCTCTCTCCTCTTCCACTCAGAGATGTCATGACCACTTGTTAATATTTAAAAAGATTTCCGGAACAAAGGCGGGGTGCGTTTTTATTCAATTTCGCCAAATCCACGCGGCGTAAAGCAAAGCCATTTAACTCACTGAGGTCCAGGGTGGAAGACGAGGCAAAGTAGGGAACTGGAGGAGAGACATAGTCTCAGGGATGGAGTAAAGAAAGAGTGAGCGCTCTGAACAAGTGCGCTTCATGGATTTACTGTCTGTGTTCATTATGATCTCCACAGGAGGGCGCTGAAGAGCGGAAAATGCACTTTGGGCCAGTTCAGTGTGTGATCAAATACGGGGAGGGGTCTTGTTGTCTCTCATGCCAAAGTCCCGCGGACTAATGAAGGGGTGGAGCAGCAACACCTCCTCCTATAAATACAAGGATAGTTCAAAAGTTATAAGATAAAAAATGATGTTTTTTTTAAATATATATAAATCACAAAGCTATTTCTCTAGATAGTTTCCGTTTGGGCTTTACCCCTTGGTAAGTTTTTTTGCATTAGAGAATTATTTCACAATATTATTCTTCAGAGATTTGAGGTCACAGGTCACAACCCTCCGTTTGGGCTTTAACCCTCGGTAAAAAAAAATTTCCATTAGAGAATTATTTCACAACATTATTCTACAGAGATTTGAGGTCACAGGTCACAACCTGCTTCTTTGCTTGATCTAAGGACTAAAAGTATGTTCCATTCAAAGATTCTTTCAAAAAAAAAGAAAAAAACATTAACAAGACAAAACACAAAGACAAAATATGATAATAAAACTTCCCAAAAGTTGTGTGAGATACAGAAAAACACTTGTTGTTCTTTTTTTGACATAACCTGATATGTTGTATAAAATTGTGTTCTATAGCAAACTAGCCAATATAGCAAACTGGTGCTATGTATTATTGTGCCTTATTATTATTATTTATTATTTTTCATGATACATTTTTTTAATGTTTAATTCAGTGGCTTCCAACCTTTTTGTCTTGTGGCCCCATTTTGATATCACAAATGACCATCATGACCCAATGTTTTGTTACAGCATTTGTTTTAAGTTTAACACGTGTAATTTACTAATCAGACACATACTTATGCGGTGGTAAGATCTGGGATGCCCCTACAAAAGTCACATTTTGTGGCTCTGTTAATGTGGCTGGTTTTGAAAACCTCATAGTCTCCACATCCATTACACAGGGTTTGTCTGGTAATGTTGTTTGTCTTAAGAACGGACACAGAGTGCTTTAGTTCTTTTCTAAGAGCACCTCTCTTTGAGTACATTTTCATAATTTGTATTTAGGTCATATTTTGGTCATCTTTATTTAAAAAATAATAATTTAATGTACTTAATTCGTTTGCATAAACGATGAACTTGTTAGGATTTAACATTTTGTTCAATTATTGTTCATTATTTGTTCACATTTAATGAAGAAAACAGTGTAAAACTGTAACAGTGCTAAACAGCTACGGGATGTTATTTGCCAACACACATCACAGTCAAAAGAAAGAAAGGCATTGTGGTAGTTGTGGTTCATGGTCAATACGCATTCTAAAAAATGCATAGACTTTCATCTGAAGGCAGTTACACAGTTTGTAAGCTCCTCTGCACTTTAACAAACGTATGTGTAAATATATATATGTAACCATAATATGTATATATAACGGTTGAACAGCGACAGATCATATATATGTAACCATAATATATATATATAACGGTTGAACAGCGACAGATGGTTAGCACGCTACATAAGCAAGCAGCATTGCTTTGTGGGTAATTACGGCAGCTGACGTCATCCGCCTCCCCCCACAGCACCATTCTGCTGCCGGTGAAAAAGAGTTTGGACAAGCGTCAGCCGTTTGTCGCAGAAATAAGTCTAATCCAGGGTGGTAGCACGTCCGATAATTTATTTATCGTCATTGTTCTTGTTAATTATTTAGTGCGTTTGTCGATTATTATTAAAAATGAGTACAATTAACGTTAAAAAACTGAAAGTCAACGAGCTGAAGGACGAGCTGAAAAAGCGGAATCTTTCGGACAAGGGGCTAAAGGCCGAGCTAATGGACCGCCTGCAGGCCGCTCTGGACGATGAGGCCTTTGCCGGAGATTCCCCTCTGGGGCAAGAAGAGCCGACGGACGAGGTTTTGGACCAGGTCGCCGAACAGGAAGGTATGGGCGAGGAGGAAGAAGGCGAAGGCGACGGCGAAGGCCCGGTAGAAGAAAGCATGGAGGCCAACGAGGTGGAGGAGGGAGATGAACAAGAGAACGGGGGCGACGAAGATGGTGGCGGCGTCGCCGCCGCCGCAGCAACAGCAACAGCAGTAGTTGCAGTTGCAGTTGAGGACGAAGAAATGGGTGACGGGGAGGAGGAGGACGACGCTGGCGACGAAGACGACGAGATGGACCCTATGCTCAAAGGGGATGTAGACGACATGGAGAAAATAGATACAGAGGATGGTGAGCCTGGGGATCAGGCCGTTGAAGGTAGGCAGTCAAAGTGATTTGGCTGGGTGTCGGTTTGCCGCCTATGTGTTAGCGTTTATGCAGCTGAGCTACATTTGAGTGGGCATCCATGTTAGTAGTGAATTCAGCGCTAGCTCAGTTAGCTGAAGGCTATGTTAACACCGGACGCAGCCGTTAGATAACCGTTAATTTATCCCACGCGATTCCCGAAAATACGTTACATAGTTGTCGGGGTTTAGGGTGATCTTTCAGCGGTAAATAATTGTCAGAGCTGGGAAAAATAGCTTTGGTGGTTTTAGTTTCGCTTACTTAGCACATTAGCTTTTAAGCTATAGTTCTTTGTGTTCGTGATGCACAGGAAACTTGTACGCTCGGCGTTGCTTTCGCCTGTTCCTCGCTTTCCATGCTATCGTTTGTTCCGGTAATCGTTACTTTCTTATCTTCGTGTATTTCTGTAAGGTCACTCGAATACTGCAGTGATTTTTTTTTTCCGCCATATTTGACCATTTTCGCTGAACTCATTCAATACCGTTGTATAACTCTAAAATGTAGGTTTTCATTTGTCACAATTTGAAAATGTGACGACTCGAACCGGCTTAAACTGCGTATAATAAGATAACACGTTGGTAATTGGTCCCCATTTGAAATGCAAAACTTCGTTATGATAGTCGTTATCGAAAATTAGTTGACTTTATGATATATAGTACTACAGGGACACATGGGAGGGGGTAAACCGAGGTTAAGCTGGTTTGCACATTGCATGATGCATTTGATCCAAATAGTCTTTCACCCATGACACCACAAGTCCATGGCTCCGGGGTTAATGCCCCAATTACTAGCAGAGACTTGTTTTCCAGCCCCAGTAAAAACTGTTTTATGTTTTAATGGACCAGCTAACTCTGTTTAAAAAACTATCTGGCCATATGATCTGTTATTAATGGAATAACATTTTGTTGTTTAAGTCTGACTTTGAGGTGTTACCTCTGAGATTAATAAAGCAATGATGATTGTGGTCCACACTGTAAATAATGAACGGGCTTAGTGGGTCAGAACCCCACTGCCAGTCCGACCTCTCTCTCTCTTACAAAAAGGAGCACCTCATACAATATCTTTGTTCTATTTTCAAAGGGGATGCGGACAAAGACACGAATGCTGATCAGAAGAATAAGAAGGGTGTTAAGAGACGCCGGGAGGAACATGGAAGGGGCTACTTTGAATTTATTGAAGAGAACAAATACAGCTGGTAAGGATGGGACAGAGCAAATGGCCTTCGGCATCCCTGAAGCGCCATCCATAGCTTTGTTGAACTGTATTGGCTTTAAAGGCCAATGCACATAACCAGCAAGAAGAAACCCCTAATTTTAACTATGTATCAAAGTCGATACTTTCACACATGTTTTGAGGGTCATTCCTCAGTACTTGTATAGCCTATTACCTATACCTTTTACAGTGCCCACTCGCAGTACCTTTTAATGGACTGCATTCTGTAGCAGAAGTGCACCTATCAAGTCTCTATGAATTTTTTTTTTCCACAACTGTTCCTTCTTCAACTTATTGTTTTCAAAGCCTGGTGTGTCCTATAGGTGCATCACGGCTGCTCAAAGAAAACCCACAGGAGTGTAACAGATGTTCACTAAACAGAGGGTGGGTCGGGGTGGTAAAGCAGAGACACACGGGGTTGGATGGGGTCCACTGCTGCTAGCTAGCTAGCTCACACAATAGTTGTAAAATATAATAATAAGTGTTTGGAACTTCCGACAAGGAGCTCGTTCTCGACCGTCCATCGTTTTTACCTCGTATTAAATTTTTTTTTTTTTTACTTTTTGTTTTTGTTTTCCACTAGTTGTATGGTTTTAAAAATGCTATTTATGTCTCATATGTCTTGTCCTGTTCGTGTGATTCATCATCGTGCAACAGTGTGAGTGGATGTATATGCAGGACTCTGTATTACCCATGTACAGGTGACTCTAGGCATGATGTTTATGAGCGTTTGCTTGCGTGCTTGCGATTATACATGTCCCGAGTTTTTGTGGTTTCCATATACATACTGTAACAGATGAAAAAGACAGTATTTCTAGGTTAAGGTACGGCAGCGTGGATCACAGTACAATTTTTTTTTTTTTTTTGCACCATTTTGTTTCTATCCCCAGTGTTTGCTCCTTGTAAATGATCAGATTTAGCAAACGTGCTATAATGCACGTAGTGTTTAACTATATACTCCAGAAGGGTGCATTCACACAAAGTCAAAGAAATCCAAACATTTTTTTTCTTTGTTTTGGGTTTTTTCCAGGTTTCTGCTGGTTCTATGACTCATTACATACAAAGCAGTCTCCAGTGATTGCTAAAAGTTGACCCAGATAGTTCAATCCTCTATTTTTTTGTCTTCGGTATTGGGAACTGTTACATCATGCACACGTTGTACCTTATTGTGCACTGCACACATGACTACATATTCATCTAAATGAACATCTTAGGTATCAGTATCAACTGCTTCAGGGTTTACAGTAAGGAGGTCACAGCCCGTCCTTTTGATCAGAGTACAGCTGATGGGTCAAGTTTCCAGCAGTGGCACTGACCAAAACAAACCACACAGTGGTACAGTCAACAGAGTTGAGCTGAAAACAGACCAAGTAAGGTCAGTACGAATGCACCCGCACTAACTCTTTGGAAAGAAAATAGTAGAATGACTTACAGGGTCATTGATATATTCTGATCTCTTCAATTACCAGTAAGTACATGATTTACAAGGTTAAATATTATTTTTATATATGGAGTAGTAATAAGAGCACCTCTTTATGCTAAAGGAGATTTTGCTATATTCCCAGGTAGGCCACGAAAGTGTAGTTGTCCTTTTCGTTTTGTTTTTTTTTTTTAATAGACTTTCGGTGGATCTGATAAGGTAAGTGTTTTTCTGCATAGAATTGTCAAATCGTTATAGGCTTGTCTGCCTTATTTGGTTTGTTTTCCTCCTTGCTCACAACTCTTCGTCTCTGGAAGTGAGACCCTAGGCATCTTATTGTTCCTCCATGCATTCTTGCTGACACTCACTGACAGGTTGTTGTCTCTTTTCAGGGCTTCTTTTAAGTCTCCAGTACCACCTCTGGAGGAGGAAGATGAGGAGTTTGATGACACTAAAGTTTGCCTGGATACACGTAGGTTGATTTGGTGTTGGAGATTAAGGTTTTATTTGCAAAAAAAATGTCAGCGTTCATACTAAATTGTATTTGTTTTGTAATTCTGTTTTGCTACAGACAACTGTGACCTGCACTTTAAGGTGTCACGAGACCGTTACAGTGCATCCTCACTGACAATGGAGAGTTTTGCTTACCTATGGTCCGGAGGCAAAGCCACCTACGGTGTCAGTGAAGGCAAAGTCTGCTTTGAAATGAAGGTATAGTGCAGCGGTCTGCCATATTTTTTTTTCACAGGCTGGGTAAAATAATTTCTGTGAAATATGTAAATTGGAGAATTTATGTATTTCTCAATCTGATTCCCATGCTCATGTAGGTTACAGAAAAGATTCCTGTGAAGCACATTTCCAGCAAGAACATGGAGATCCACGACGTGCAGGTCGGCTGGTCCCTTGCCACTGGCACTCTGCTTCTGGGTCAGTTTTCTGTTTTGGTGTTTCTGCAGCTCAAATTTTTTTTTTTTGCCCCATTATTTATTTATTTACGTTTTCTTATTTTTATTTTATGGCGTATCCGTAGGTGAGGAGGAGTTTTCTTATGCCTACTCCATGAAAGGCAAGAAGACGGCCAACTGCACGACCGAGGACTTTGGCGAGACCTTTGAGGAGAATGATGCCATCTGCTGCCTCATTGTAAGACTTACTATTTGCGTTTCAACAAAATGTGACGCAAAAG